AATCATAATATCCAGAAGTAATGAACCCAAATGATGTATAAAGGAAACTGTGGTTAGTATGTCAAAGCACAACAGTCATAGTAAGTATAAACACACAGGAGGAAGATGAATAATGATACTGGGACAGAAACTGCTGTACCAGTTGCTACAGCAATCACTTGTACTTCCTGCATGATAGCACAAAGTAACATTGTGTTTTCCATATATCTATGAGGTATTATGAATGACTAATACCACAGTTATAAGCTTCTTTATAGAGCTTCATATCATCTGTACAAAGTTTAAGGAATGATAAAGCAAGTTGCTTATGACAGTCATCTTGCATTTGGCACAACATGAGTGGTGTTTTAATAATATTTTTCAATAGTTAACATTTGCTTAAGAATATGTTTCATATTCTTATGAAACATACCTGAAAGTAATCATGCCATGTTTGTACCCTAGTAACATTTTAAAAGTAGGTCTGTGGACCAGGCCTGTTGGTGCATGCCTGTAATCCCAGTTATGTGAGAGACTGGTGCAAGATTGTGAGTTCAAGGCCTGCATGGCTTACACAGTGAGTTCAAGATCAGCTTGGGCAATTTAGTCAGACTTTGTCTTAAAGAAAAACATAACAAATCAGAGAGACAGCAAGGTCACCACTACTACCTCTGGTCTTTCAGACTTGCTCAGGTACATCCCATTGGAAGAAATATTTCATTCATAATTTTCCTACAATTTCACTACAGGGTCCACATGTGCATTTCCATGCCCTGCCTCTAGGGTAGAGTGTGATTCTTGTAGAGTGTTTAGAATTCTCAATGTCTGCACTCATAGGGTTCATAGTTGATTGTCAAAGACAAACAACAGAAAGATTATCAGGACTTGGGAAGATAGCAGTCAGTAAAGGGCTTGCTATATGACCACAAGGACCTGAATTTCAGACTCACTGTCCATGTAAAAAGTTGGGTGTAATGGCACATGCTTATAATCCCAATTCTGGAGAGACAGAGACAGGATCCCTGCAGCTTACTGACTAACCTGACTGGACTAACGGCAAGACCTGGGTCCTAGTAAGAGATTACAAAATGACTAAGTATCAAAAAGGACAGAAGAACAACACCCGAGGCTAATTAGGGTTCCCAGGTATACATGCATGTATACCTATGAACACCTACACACAGGTGTACATGATCATGCACAGGCTCACATATAAAAACAGGTAAAGGGTATGAAACAAATGAGGTGATGGATCTTGGTGCTGCTGGTAGCAGAGAGAAGGCTTTCATGAATGATCACTCTGATGAGAAATGAGAGACGGAACTAAAATGAGCACTGTGGAAATGGTGTTGCCTGAGCTAAGACCTAAGACCTTAGTAAGCATAGAAAATATATATGGCAGTAAGGGACACCATGCCAGGCATGAAGGAGACAATAGTCCACAACCACAATACAGGTGGTGACCACAAGCAGAAGACATGAAGGAAAGAAACATGCTGAGTTTGGGATTGGGATGAAGCTTCACAGAACCTTGAAGGTTGGGGATGTTAATCTACAGGACTTGAAGGATGCTTAGCAGAAGATCAGAGTGAGGGAGAAGAAGGAATCCTTGATTTTGCCTTGGTTTTCTCTACTAGGTTTAAATCAGAATTCTGAGCTAGCTATACCTAATTGAAAAGTGAAATCTCTTCCTGTTCTTTCTCTTTGGCTTAACTGTAATTTGATATGATTCAGTTGTATATTAAAAGAGACCTGTCTATGAAAGCCTTGACATCATGTGCAAGTTGTATGTTTTTCAGAGAGAAGGAAATTACCTCTCGGTAATTTTCAAAATTTAATAATCCTGATTTGAGATTTGTGGTGTAATATCCTTATGACCGGTGCTCATTCAGTTTTTGTGTAGATGTCAACTGCTTATTCAGGAGTATATTTCAAACACACAGTGAGTATTTCAGGCGGTGCAGCCTGTTTCCACTCACTAAAACATCTTTCTGTCACAAAGGAGAAGGAAGGGTGTTGAATTTATTACAACATAAATAATTCTGGATGCATTGTTGAGCTCCTGGGAAAAGAAGTCAAACACACAAAACTCTATAGTGAAAAGCTCAAGAGAAGCTGAGGTCCAGGGAACTCTGGAGTAAAACGACAAAGCAAGAGGGAAGCTGGAGTTGTAGAGGACCGTGGCTACCCAGGTATGGGTGTGATTGCATGTGCTGAAGTCTGGTGGGTGACTGGATGTGGAACCAGGCACTCTTCTGGATTCTTTGTCCTGAAATGTTGCTTCAGCTGGCCAGGAAAGCATCAAGGATATTGCTCTGCCATCGCTATATCTTGGTGAAAATTAACCAATCATGTCAATAGTAGGAATGAGGACGCTAGTAGCCTTCTCAATTGCCCAGGACCACAATTATTTCAAGAGTGTCTGAAATTTGAATATATGTTGCAGTCAGAGAAACCTCAGCATGGAAAATGAACTTGAAGACAAATGAGGTGGCTAGCATCTCATACCTGGTAAAAACTAAGCAGATCTTGTCCAGAGAAGGTATATCCAAGTTAGTTTGTTCTAGGTGTTTGATAATTGTTAGCCAAATCTGAGTTCACCATAAACAGGATACCATAGAAAAATCCGGAGAGATAGCAAACTATTCACACTCTCAAGAACACAAAAATATAATGTTGTGCTCGCAGATTCTGATTCTGTCATTAATGATGAAGAAGTAGTATTGCAGAGACCAGGAATATAGCAAATAAACTTTGTGTTAGAATTCATTTAGTTTCTATTAGATTCATAAAATTAGAAGGTGGTAATATCCCGGCTATATAAAATTACTGAAATTGGCAGGTAATGCTGGGGAAGGAGGGTGTAAATTGATTCAGTCAATTTTGCTGGTTTTTGTAAACGTGTGGAGCATTTGCTCTGGGAAGCAGCATTAATGCTGAGAAAAATGTGGTGCTATGCCCTTAAATGTGCTTGTGAAGGATGGCTTGAGGGCTGCAATGCAAGCCATGGCAAACACACAGAAGGCCTGAAAAACAACATGCATGAACAAGAGAAGATAAGTGAATTACTCTACACTATAACATAGTTATAATATTCATTGGTGACACTGGACTACAGTGACACCCAACATGTGTAGTGACCCTCACTGAAGTGACCCTCAGGAATGATGTTGTCTCTCTCTCTCTCTCTCTCTCTCTCTCTCTCTCTCTCTCACACACACACACACACACACACCCCACACACCCACACACACATACATGTGTGCTCCTGTGTGTATACACAAGTTGATATACTTAAAAAGTGTCCCCAATTAAAAATATCTTATTTTATTATACTGGCACTGTTTTGGATCGGAAAGTCTTACTGAAGAGAATATTTTTTTAATAGTGGAATAATAAAGATTGGGAAAAACAGAAAGGCTGAATAGATATTTATTCAGGGACAAATAACTTACAACAGAGACAAGTGAAACCAGCATGTTCCTGTCCCAAGGATGCCTCTGAATGCCCTCTGTCTTGGCCTAGCAAACAAGATTGCTCCTGGGTCCTTCCCTCAGAACTAGTTCCCCCCAGGTCACATCTGCACCTGTCACCTGTCCCCATGACTAATGGGTGTGGTCAGTGCAACAGGTGCAGACAGAGTGAACATCTCACTATAACTTTTTTTTAAAGACACATTAGCTTTTACCTTTATCATGACCCTTAGCTTTTATTTTTTCTTATTCATGTTCTGCAGAACACAAGGAAAGGCAAATTATTTAGGGTACTACTTGAAAGACAAGATTAGTTAGAGGAGGTTATTTGTTTGTTTATGGGAGCCAATGGAGTTTGTTCTTGAAGAGGTTTGACATCGCAGAAGAGAAAGTAGTCCGACCCTTTGGAGGAGAGTCCTCGGCATATTCAGCCAGGTGGCAAGGTTGTGAGTCATCTGGCTTAGGTGTTGCTTTATGCTAGGAACTAGGACACAGGTGCACCTTCTTAGTCACAGGTAGGCGGAGCAGACTCCATCACTCTGGTTTCAAACTTACTCAGCTGAGCTTTGGTGAAGAGGAAGTAGGCTTTGACCAAGTTCCACCTTGCTCCACAGGAGCGAGTTCAGAGCATTTTGATGCTCATTTAACATATTTACTATTGTGAAGTTTCCTGTGCCACTACTCAGGGTTTCTGTCTTGCTTAAGCGTGATTCCCTTTTAATAGTGGAAATAAGGAAAGGCAGGTGATTGTAATGAAGCCTAGAAACGATGTAAATAGTTTGCATGTTAATTTTATTTTTAAATTTTGTCACGAAGAGGAGCACAAGCTATGTGTGGAAGTCAGAGAACACATTACAGGAATTCTTTCTTCCTTTCTACAACGTGAATTTCCAGGCTTGAACTCAGGCTGTCAAGGGCTCTTACCCACACCCTCGGAGTCATCCTTTTGACATACTTATTTAATGACTGTGTGGTCGGGGGTAGGTGGGCTCATCAGAGTGCACATTTGATGGTCAGAGGACACCCATCATGTTTTCTCCTTCTACCATATGGGTCCCAGAGATTGAACTTGAAGCTTAGCAGCAAGCATGGATACTTGCAAAGGCCTCACACTGGCCACAAAATGTGTTTGCATATATCATGCTATTTCCATTACAAATGACTACACCTAAAGTTAATAAAAATATTTGAATTCAGATATATTTCATTACAAAAAGTAAGTAATTTAAAGAAAACAACTATTCTACACAAACCTAGTATTTGATACTCCATTCTAGTCTGCCTGTTCATTGTGTTTCTGTCATGGTGGCAACTGTTAGAAGTTAGACACGATCTCAAAGAGGCTGAAGTTCCTTCCAGCACCCTGTTCTTGGTAAGTATTCACTTTAGTACATATTGTTTTAGTTCTTCAGAGATTCTCACTGTGGCAAGACTTGCTCCTTTCTCTTTAGTATACGGATTAAGACAATCAAACAACACGCAGTATTTCCTGACCCACTCCAGCCTAGAAAGCCTGCTCTAACTTCTTTACTTCTCTTGTTGATCCAGGACAGTTTCCCAGCAAGATTTGGAGGAATTCATTTTGTCAATCAACCTTGGTATATCCATGCCCTGTACACTGTGATCCGGCCTTTCCTGAAGGAGAAGACTCGGAAAAGGGTACTTCTGCTTTTTTTGTTTTAAATCTGATATCTGTCCCATCCATATTCAATGAGTTAGGATGCACACTTCAATTGTTTAATGTCAGCTATGATACAATTTCTTTAATCTTGTCATGCTAGACATTTACAGATTTTTAGAGATCTTATAATCTCTCTAAATTCTCAGCAATGTTTTATGAACAGGACATTTAAAAGCAAGCTTTCCTACTGTTTCACCAAATAATGAAGCATGTTAGTATCTTCACTCATATTACAGTCTCACTATAAACCTCAGAAAACAATGCTATAGTATTTCATTATTGTTGGCACTCTTAATTTCAAGTAAGAACTATACATGAGTTATTATTTTATTTATTGACAAATGAATTCTTGTTATTTCACAATATTTACTGACATAAGTACACTTTTTAGAATTTGATATATTTGTGTAGTGACAGTCATGATCCATCAGACATTTCAAAAATAATGCTGGTGTGCTGAAGTTTAAATAGTTCTCTAAATACATGTTATATGAATTTACTCAAGATCGAGTATCATCATACAAGGGTGGTAACAAATATACATGAAGGAAAATCATGATTTTTCTGGAAATGTAATAATTATTTAAAGCATTTAGTACATGCTAAATTGAATAGGCATGTTTATTAACATAGAATTTTAAAATATATTTAGTTGTACATTATTTCACTTATTCATTTAACAGCTCTGTAAAGTAAATTTAAATATTGCTCACCTATTTATTATTTAAACATATATACATTATGAACAGTTCAAATAAGGGTAAGCATATTCATCTCCTTTAAAAATTAATGTTTCTTTGTGGTGAAGACCTTCCAAATCTCTTCTGTTGCTTTAAAAAATACAGTGATTACCATTATCTAGAATGATCGTACTTATTTTTCTTATCCAGCTGTAACTTGGATATCTTGTACCCACAGACCAACCTATTCCCATCCCTTCTTTGCCAGTCTCTGATTACTGATTTTATGCTGAACTTTGAAAAGTAGATTTAGTAAACATGGTCTCCTATTTCTGAGCTGAGGAAGGAAGTCTGTGGATGGCTAAGCAACTTGCTTTCTCACAGATGTAGCTGGGAAGTTACAGAACCAGCAAATGCCCTCAAGCACACAGCTCTGTTCACTGCTGTGTGCTAACCACCATCAGACACCCTCAAAGCACCCAGCTCTGTTCACCTCTGTGTGCTAACCACCACCAGACGCCCTCAAAGCACCCAGCTCTGTTCACCTCTGTGTGCTAACCACCACCAGATGATTAGTGACACTGTAAAGTATACTTTCCTCTAAACCTGTGCAGATGACAATAGTGTTGTGAGACTCAGTGATTAAGCACTTCATGTCTTCCAGTGTTGCAAAGTCCTCATTCTGAGCATGCAAACACAGTAATTACATGTTCGCATCAAGCATTAGTGAGCAGAGGGTTGACTGTGTATGAATTTGTTAAAAACATTCCAGTCATTCAGGAGGAAGAACTCCGCAAACAACTGTAATTTGTACTAAGAGTTGATTCTACCGCTAAGCATGAAATTATGCGCATTTTGGAGTTTAAAAATATAATGAAGTGCTTCACAAATGCACCTCCAAGCTTTGTTCCATGAAATACTAATCAGGTTATTCAAAACATCTGCTGGGGATTTTAGCACAAATTCCTCTTATGTGTGTTCCCTCTTGCTACATGCTGTTCTCAATGCATTATGTGTGTTTCATTTAATAATTACAACAATACTTTTGAGTAAGTCATTTTTTTTCATTTTGTAGGCTGAAAATGAAACTTAGAAGGTTAAACAACCTGCTATATATTGCTGTTAGTAGATAGAAGGTTCAGGCTTATTTGGAAAATTCCATGGAGAGGAGATAGGAAATACGTCTTAGGTAGGCATGTGTCTAAGCTATTGAACAAAAGCAAATAGAGCAGAAAATCTGGAGAATGAGCTATGTGGGGAGGAAGTGAGGGGCAAGATCAAAGGAAATGGGGTTCATTAGATCTCAGGTGGTCTTGGCTAGCATTGCAAGTGCTTTGATGTTCAAGCAGTCTCAATGTGACCTGATATGCCACGATCCCACTTCCTTGAATGCATTGCTAGCCAGATGGAAGGAAGGCAACTGAACTCCACAATTTTAATAAAATTTCCATGACTTGGCAATCTTCATTTGAAATAATTAAAGGTTAAATTCCTTTAATTTTTATTTATATAAGGAACTCATATGACAAAGATATTTTATTCTTACTGACAAGACAAGTGATACCCTGTCATTACACAAGTACCTCATAGTGCTGATGTTGTAAATACATCTTCTGAGAAATCTGCTAAAAAAAAAAATACAAACCTAGAGATCACTGGAAGTCTTCCTGTATAGACCCAGTGTATAAGAAATGACTATGACTTCATTTTCCCAAATTAAGTTAAATGCCAACACGACATAATGGTGAAGATTCCTGTGTTCATTATTATGAATTCCCTTCTCATAATTTCATCAATGCCTGGAGTTTTCATACCAAGATTCCCATCCATCATAACCAATGCCTAATGTTTCCATGGTTCAATGTGATATTAGTTCCTGGAGTTAAGATTTTTTGATTATGATTTCATTTCCTGTTGTGCTTCTACATTGCCAGCCAAATAAAGTCCTTGCTGCTGACTCTGGATATCAGGGGCTTTAGTTATACCTCATCACCTCACTGCAGCCTTGAGCAAGCCTCTGCTTATGGTTTTACTACCCTGGAAAGAGTGACAAGAAGCTGGGTTCTCCATTAAGCAGCACATGATGGGAGATGTCATTCTGTATATGTTTCTCATACTGGTTAATGAATAAAGCACTGTTGGCCAATAGGAAAGGAGATAGGAGGGACTAGGAAACAAGGAGGAAAGAGGAAGTAGGAAGGAGGAGTCAAGATAGAGAGACCGGGGAGACCAGACGTCTGCCCCACTCCCCGGTAAGGAAACCACATGAAAATACATAGAAATGGGTTAATAATTAAGACAGAGCTAGCCGATAAGAAACTAGTAACTGGCCAACAGCATAATATCAAATACAGAGTCTCAGTGTGTTAATTGGGGGTGGTGTAGTGGCGGGAGAAGACCTGTGGCAGGTGGAAAAAGCATACTCGTTACAAGCACACATTTTTATCTCTTTCTCAACATGGTGGGCTCTGCCTTCTATTATATTCTTGATTCTCAGATTTATGCCACCTTCTTCTGTTCTCTTCCCAGTAGCCTGATATAGTTTATTTAATGAGTAAATGGCACAGGGAAATGAAATAAAAAAATAAAACAAATTTTAGGGTAATTCTTAGTATTGTGAAGTACAATGAAGCAAAGGAACCCATAAGGATCAGGTATCATTCACTAGATAACAAAAGAGCAAAAACAACATGAAGGGGGAAAAAACCAAATTAATAGTGAATACTCTTAATGCAGAATTATTTAAGACAAAGAACCCTAAGAGCAAACAGTCATGGTGCATTTTTGATGCCCAAATCAGAGGATCACTTCACACTTGAAGTTCTGAAGGAGCATCTTTTTAGGCTATTAATTAATTAATTGTGGGATTTGAGAAATAGTAGTTTGATGGTTTATAAATCTTCAAATCTACACACACACACACACACACACACACACACACATATACACACACTATATACATTAAAGGATAGGTTAGCAGGTGAATGGTGTTAAAAACACATGATATAAGAGAGTTGAAAGTGTTCCCAGGTGAAGGACTTCACACAAAGGGTACTTTCAAGCAAAGATTACAGAATAGTAGGTCGTGAATATATTGAGGAAGAAATACCCAGGAAGAAGAAACATCCAGGACAGATACTCCGAGACAGTGTTGGGAAGTGGATTTAAAAGAATAATCTTGGAGGACATATAGGGCACATAGGGTTTGCTTATCGCAGTGAATAGAGCAGCCAATGATGAACTGTGACCAGACTGAGGGAATCTGGTGTATGTGTTGTCATGGCCATTCTACTTGCCAAGTTGAGAGCATTCTAGGGAAGAAGAGTGGCAGTACGATGAAAACCCAGGGGACATGAGCTGTGGCATAATATAGATGAAGGTGGCTTTAGTTAGGGCTGTGGCTGCCCTGAGTGGTACAACAAAAAATAATTTCTGGAAACCTTTGAATATGCAAAGAAGTAAAATTCAGTTCATATATTTTGGTTTGATAAACAGAAAGGGTGACTAAACCTTTACTGATGCTTAGAATAAGTAGAAGCAGTTTGGGTGGGTAAGATTTTTGAGGTCAGTTTTGGACCTTTTGGATTCTAGGTACCCACTGAACATTGAAGTGAAGTGTCATTTAGAGAGAGTGTGGAAGGCCAAATATAGAGTCCAAGACTAAGGTCTGGATCCAAGACACAGGTTTACAGAGCATAGTTAGTGTTATATATCTGCAGAATAAATAACGTCAGCAATGGGGTTTGTTCTTTAATAATAATAACAATAGTAATAATAATAATAATCTGGCTGAAAAGTAGTTTCCATGGGCATAGTAGCACACAGTTTTAATCCCGGAACTTGAGAGGCCAAGGAAGGTGGATCTCTGTGAGGACAAGCCCAGGCTGGTCTACATAATGAACATAATGTATTTAAGGCCAATCAGGCTATATAGTGAAAGCTTGTGTTAAAAAAAAAAAAAAAAAAAAAAACTTGAGTTATCAGAAGAAAAAGATTAAAGATGGCTGTAGTTCTGCTGTGGGTTGGGGGAAAGCAACATGAGAATTGGATATTAGTTCCTCAGGGAGAGCAAAACTGACAGAAGGTGATATCATGTTTTGTTAAGAGATCAGGTAGCTATCGACTGGACTTAGGAAATGTTAGAGGAGAGTATTTGGACAATGAATAAAAACAACTTCTCTTGCATGTTCTGCTGTTAAAGGAGAATTGAAGCTAAGATAAGAACCAAAGAGCCAAGAGAGATTTTATGCATCTTTTTTGCAAGATATTGAAGATAGCAAGTTTTTTTTTCTCAGATGGGAAAGAGAGGTTAATGTTTTAATATGAGAAAAACAAGAGGGGGGATTGCTGGGAAATAAAACTGAGTTGAGGAAAGGGAATGGGTTTTGTTTTGCTGGTGTAATGGTTAGTCTGTGGGCTTTACACTGTCTCTGTTCTAATGGTGAGCCGGAACCCACGGGCACAGATGCTGGTGGGTGGACCTCAGCTGGCTGCCCTATTTCCACAGTGAGAGTGGAATCAAGGCCAATGCTGAAAATGATGCTGAGGGAGGAGGTAGCAGAGATTTCCAGAATGTTGTTTTTAACCACAACATCTTTGTGACTTGATGCAGGATTCTGCTATGATGAAACACATCTCATGTTTTTGGAGTTAGATAGCTGGTATAATGAAGGTTTTGAAACTTCGATTTTTTTTTCTAGAGGAAATATTTTTGACTGAATAATATTGGTATGTGTGTGTTTTTCATGCATACATACATACATGCATGCGTACACACACACACACACACACACACACAGACACAGAGGCTATGTGTTATATTTTTAATTAACCAGGTTTGCTGTGAGGCAGATAGCATCTTCCAACACTATACTTATTTCTTAAAAAATCTGATTGTTCTGTAAACTGGCCAATGTTTGGCTGACATCTACTGTTTTTCATCTACTGTAATTTGTTAAAAATAATAGTTGATTGATAACTTGCATCTCTCAGAGTTTACCTGATGCTGAAATATATATTTTCCTATATATTTACATCTGTGGATTCTAAAGATACAGAAAACAAACATGAATGTGTTAGTTAACCTGTTCATCTTGAACCCAAAATGTGAAATTAAGTTACTTATAAACTTTACTTTTAAAATAAATATTACAGAAATTTGAATAGGATGTTGATGATGCTTTTTTGATCAACCTATAATTTTGTGATAATAGAAATCAAATAGAAGAAGAAGCAAACTACAGTTAGGAAATTTCTTATTCTCAGATTGGGAATGGAAGGTCGATAACTGACAATGAAAATTTGATTATGAAGGAAGACTTGAGAATAATAACACACGTATATTTTTTAACTTTTTTTGTTAGTTCATTGACAATTCCTGATGGTTTACCTAGGTTTTCTAATTCCAGCATCAGGAAGAATAGTAATTAAAATCTTAGTTAACTGTGAACTCTGTTAACTACAAAAATTAACTACTGGTCTGGCATGATATATCCCAAAGAGGGAAAGCAGAAATTGGGCCTGAGACAGGGGCCCATACTCACCTCTTCCCTGAGCGGGGGCAGGACTCTCTTTTTTTAACTTTTAAAAATTTGATATTTGACCATTTCATACATGTGTATCCACATAGGCTTAAAGATATATATATATATATACTATTCTAGTCACTGTCACCATCTTCTTTTGATCTTTTCAGCCCATTGCTCACAACCTCACCTCACTATTCACTGAGCTGAACTAGGGTCTTTTTTGTAACCATGGGTTTGGAATTATCCATTGCAGCCTTGTAGTCTCTTAAGTGGACAAACAATTGCAGAAGATGTTGATTCTTGTCCCAGAGCCCATTTCTTTCTAATAGCTCAGCAGGGAAGGTTAGTGTCCTTTGAGCATCTCCCTAGCATATGACTGATTGTTGGCGGACCCAGTTTTCTACAGACCTATTGCATTGTAACTGCAGCTAGGTTGAAATCATGACTGCATTGACTGTGCCATATCCAGAAGAAATAATCTTTCTGCCCTGTCTTCCACTAGTCGTATAGTGTTACCGATGTAGGAGTAACAAACAACTTTCTGATTGAAATTTAAGCCTGCTTTATAAAACGGAATTCATACCTGCTACCATATACTGGGCCAAAAATCTGTGTCTGGCCAGTTCATGGTCCTCAAAGGAGAACCTAATATTGCAATTCTACAAAATGAACATAGTAATAAACTTTCTCCTTAATTTCTTGACTTTTATAATCACAGATTGATGGATGTATCTCTCTGTCAATGGGCTTTAACTTGGTTTACAAAGGAGACATCAATTTCTTCTGTGGACCATGTCTCAAAACTGATCTAAGAGCAAATGATTACCCTCATAACAGTAGTGTCATTATTGTACTGGTAGGTACATATTGCTTGGCAGGTTAGCAGTACAGTTCATAAGTTAGCAATTAGGTAAGACTGCTGATGTATTTTCTCCCCCAACAGTATGCACAATACCTGCAGAAACTATGAAAGCTAGCCAATAGGTAGGAAGCTCCCAGCTTAGTTCCTGTCTATATCTTGAAACTATCTATGGTGTGTGATGTATCTGCTAAAAGACTTACTAGTAGATGTGCATATTGGCTATTAACTACTGAAGATGGGTTTTTATTCACTGCTATAATCTTGATGTGAATTTTTGTTATATTGCATATTAATGAGTAATATTTTAATATTTGTAATATTGAAAACATTTAAAGATAGAAGAATTTAAATGATTATTAATAAAAACATAGAAGGGGTAGCAATTGATGGAAGTATAAAATAATGGAGATTGTGCTTGAATTTATCTTCAGATAAATAAAGAAAACTCTATGTAGACAATAATACCAATAATTTAAGTATACATAGCAAGTTGTCCCTATAATTCACTGTTCTAGTTTCATTTGGTCAATGAATATGGAAATCTCTAGGACAGAGAATGTTGGCAGTAATGCAGATCATGTGTCTTTGGGACGTGGGCATCACTCAGCTTTTGCTTATGAGGATGCTAATCTATTTTTCTTTACAGCATCCACTTCAAATTATAAAGCAATTGAGTAGTTACCATATTCTTATTTTTGCTGACAACAATAAAGAGAAGTAGATATGGAGGCACCTTTGTAACTTGGTCAGCTCTGGAATTGATGATTCAAAATCATTCACTATTTATATCACCAGGTTTCCACAGCTAACACAAAGGAGATGTGGAGCTTAGAATATTCTGTTCATGGTCCTGACAAAGAAGCGGAAAATCAAACTTGTGATTCTAGATCTTTATCCATATCACTATCTGATCCTCCAGAAACTAAATATCTTGCCCCTTGGGACTATCATATGAAATGTTAGATAATGCTTCAATGTTGTCTACTTCATAGAATAGAGGAGAGAGTTAAATCTTGTGAGAAACATATAAACCTCTTATGTTTGCTTTTCTAGTTTCACCTATTCCCAACAGCCTCTGGATGGTACTTAGTTTTCTCTATGTGTTTCCTTTCTACTTCTTGCCTTGTATTCATAGATATTTTTGCACGGTAACAACCTGAACAGTCTACACCAACTAATTCATCCTGAGATCCTGCCTTCTGAGTTTGGGGGAATGTTGCCCCCATATGACATGGGGACATGGGCAAGAACCCTGCTAGACCATGAGTATGATGATGACAGCGAGTACAATGTGGACTCCTATAGTATGCCTGTGAAGGAAGTAGAAAAGGAACTCTCTCCAAAATCCATGAAGAGGTATGCTACAGATCAACTGGAAGTGGCTAAAGCTCCTGGGGCGGGGGAAGACACACTGAATTTGACCTCCTTTCCCCACCATATAAATTTTCATTTTGTGTGCCTTTTTTCTTTTCTGATAGCATTTTAAAGTCTTGCTGTGACGATAACTTTTTTAAGTTCATAAAAGTCCAATTAATTACTTGGGAAAATGTCATATGGGGGTCGTCTAGATACATGCAAGTTACACACACACACACACACTTTCAAATAATACATTCAAGTTTGTGTAACCTGTTCAATGTCTCTGCTCATTCTTTGTCTATAGGTAGCCATTTCTGTGCCAACCACTATATCCTTACAGATTTAATCATCATAAGGTTCATTACTATGTTAGAGTCCATCTTCCTGTTTTGACTCATAATGCTTTCCTTATGTTTCTTTCAGTTAGTGGGTGGGGGAATTGCAGGTGCATGCTTGTATAACTGGCTCTGCCTCTCAGTCCTGTAGCAAATGCTATGACATTGATTCCTGGGCTTCCTCAGGCCCCAGCTGACAGATAAGGCAAGTCTAATCATCACCCACGAGAGTGTGTGGTTCCCAGGCCCTGCTACCTCTAGGAAGATGCACACATTTCACTTGGCATGCTAAACCCTATCTTGCATCTTTTCCTCATGAAAGCTTTGGTTAAAGCATCGATTCAGGTAGTGGTCCTAAAGAATGAATCTCCTCCTTCCTTCCTCTTTCTCTCTCTCTTATCCTTCCCCTTTCCTGTCTCTATTTGTCTTTGTCTCCATTTGTCTTTCTGTATCTCTCTCTGTATCTCATGTGTCTGAGCATGCATTATGTTTTTGTGTGATAATGATGATGATGTTTTCTCACTAAAAGCAATTACACAACTCCTGGAAGTAAAGGGAAAGGACTGGAAAATTTCCCTGCTACCTATCATCTCTGACCCAAGTTCTTCTTCCATGCATCCTCAAAAGGCTGGGACCCATCAAAGGTCTTCCTCTCAACCACCAAGTCAAGCATTTCTATGTGCTACTTATTCTAGTCATTTCGTATCAATCACTGTCCTTTAAAAATGTTCTGGTATCACTTAGCAAAAGAAATGATTTGGGCTAGTTTGATATTTACTCTTTATAATATGAACTCTGTGGAGATCATGGTGGCTGTATTTGTTCCGTTCTCTGAATCTCTTGTTCCTGGAGGAAGGCTATTCCCAAGGTGGCCCACTACATGCTGCTGAGTGAAAGACTGAGCTGTTTTCTGTCTTTGAACAGCTACCTATAGTCAGTATTTATAACAATAGGCAACATCTCAACCTACAGTGACTAGTGCTGTCTATGTTTCTTGTGTGGACTTTGATAGTTTCTATTCAGGTGCAAGAAGTCACAGCGCATTGCTTACTCATGTTGAAATTGTTGTTTAAATGGAGCCAACATTTACCCACCAACAGTTCTGAAAACTATAATGCCTGAGAAAACAAAGCAGCAATTTAATTCCAATTTAGGCGATATATTTTATATTCTTAAAATGTCAGATTCTATTCAAACTGAAAATAATGCATGCGTGTATCTGGGTGTGTGTTTAACAGGATATTATGATAAACACAAATAATTTAGTGGTGGACTTTTTGTAGTAGCTTTGGCATTTACTTTCTGGAGATGATGAACACAGTTCAAAGTCTGAATAGTAGATGTAGTTTATGATTTTATGTTTTCAGTAAAAAATTAATTTCCTATTTTTCGTGTTGCTCTTTGAATGCTTAATACCACAATTGTTGTGTGAAAATTCAGTTGTTAGAAATCTTACTGTGTATCTTACCCTGTGATTCTTTATTCTCCCTCCTGTCTTCTCTCTGTCATTTCCTCTTGTTCTCTTTATTCAATTTGTCTCTTTCCCACGAAGACACACAGAGAAACATAGAAAAGTTTAATCGGTATGTTTTTAAATATCCAGTGCCTCTTTAACACTCAGATAAAGTGAAATTTATCTAAGAAACCAACACCTCACTTAAAAAAGGTTCCCATTTTTATTTCCTTTTTTGGAACAGCATTGTTTATTTAAATAAGTAAGTCATTTTGTTGGTGAATCTTGCCCTCCTTAAAAATATAATTAGTTCCATTACATTCTTTTTTATTAGTATGTGCAATTGTAATTTAGCTGAGAGACTTCCTATTCGGGAGTTAATGAAGTCTGTTAAGAGGCACATTGCTACAGCAAACGGCAATTGGCCAGAATGCAGCAGAATGGGAGAATTCATTACCAGGGAGGGCTCTATAAGGGCAGCTGCTTCTTAATGCCGTAGCCATTAAAATGGCATCTTCCTGCCACAATATTAGCATGTGTCATTGTTTTCCCTTCTTTCCATCCTCATGTGGTTTCCTAATGATGAACCTTATATAATTCCACCTTGATATCAAAAGCATGTACATATATGGGGTTTTCAAATTTTGTGCTTTCTTAATTATAGACTCTTCTTACACAAATAAGCATTTTTATTTTAAATGTCATTAAACATTTCTTAAAGCGTTTGAACATATGGTTTAATTTATTTGAATTTTCTAGTGGGGAACTTAAAATTACAATCAAATTCTGATTTTTTTGTCGTTGGTGGTGATGTAATAAAATTGGCAGATGATAAAGAAATGGTTTATAATTATTTTGAATGTGTTTCAAAGCGGGGATTAAGCCTCTTACTGATGTAGAAATCATCACCAAAAGCATCTATCTATTAATTTCTTCTTATGTCCTGACATGCTTTATCAGAAACTATCTGTCCTCTATTAGAAAATCCCAGTATCTCAAAGAGAACACTCTTGCTCAGCTGTCAGGAGAACATTAATGCTATTATTTTCTACTTAGAATCTCTTGCTGCTCACAACCCGGGAAGCACCAGAGGGGATTGTTTGCTCACTCTGATGCCAAACTCTAAATGTGTGATAGCCACAGCTCATAAATCCCTGGACGTGGGGGAAGAGACTTCATGGCCCTGGGAGAAGCAGTGTACAGAAAAGACAGAGGAAATGTCATGCTGTCATGCGGGTAATTCTGGGTGCTAACTCTTTGTCCCTGGCTTTATTCTTCCCAGATCGCAATCAGTAGTGGACCCCACAGCACTAAAGCGCATGGATAAAAGCGAAGAAGAAAACACACAGCCTTTACTTTCTCTGGACTAAGAACTTCTCCACCTCCGCCCCCCACCATCCCCACCCCCATGGATTAGAAATGGGAGGTACTGGCTTTCAGCATCTGGGACAGCGCTGTGGCATTTACCTGCTGGAAAACCTTATTCATGTTAATGTAGCATAATGCATAAGGCATCTGGCTTTCACATTTGCCTAAACCATGGGTGCCCCGGGCTAGATTTTAAAAAGTCAATAATTTATTCTGTAAGTGCCAAGTTCTTTGTAAATACAATATAGACTTCACATCAAGTTTGTAAATTTTGGTAGTAATTTAATTTGGGAAAGATTGACTCACACGTTTGAGCCAGTGATACAGACCATAATAAGAAGCATAAAGACACATACACTATGAAATTTAATTATATGTATCCATGTTTCCTATGAAGCCATATTTCTGCTTTCATAGTGAATTGTTTCATTCTCTTTCTCTGAAACCCTGTCAATATTCAAACATACTTTGGGCACGGTTAACAGTTATTCCAGGAAATTGTTACGATTAATGTTTTCCTGTTTAGTGGTTTTCATTTCAGAGGAAGCATTCTAGAACCATCCCTGACTGCATTCTGAAGAAAAAGAGTAGATGATGAGCTGGTGAACAAAACATCTTGTGTTCTTCTCTGTTGTTTGACTCAGAGTCTTGCAAGAAAATATGTTTCCCCACTCAAGATGTGGAATTCTGATAAAGAATGGATATTTGTTGATACCGCTGTCTTCGCAATGTTCACTTTGCTTAAGTGTCTCATTGTAAATCCTTGTCTGGTGTACTATAGAACATTTCATCCAAAATTCCTTCACCAAGAAGATGAGAATTAGTTCCTGAGTAATTTTGACAGCCAATTATGAATATAACGTTTATCTCTTGCAGATAGGGGCCTAATTTCAAATAATTGTGCAGCACTTGTTGAAAAAATATATTTACACACCACATATATATTTTTATTGAGTTCTAATAAATTCTCGACATAACAGGCTTTGAGATGTCATGGAAAAATGACTGTCAGTGTAGTAAATAAATATGAGAATGTGAGACAGACTTCAGGTTACCTATTCAAGGAATTCCAATATATCATAAAATGAAATATTGAGTATGTAGCACCTTACTGAATGTGTTTTTTCTCCTTTAAGGCACAATAAATCTCAATATAGCATAGATACCAGGGCAAGAAAAGCAAGAATTTTCTTAAATATTTTCTTACATATAACTTAATTATGTTGTTATTTTATGCTCACATTTTCTTTTGAGAAAAGATTAAAAGTACATGACATCTGACAGATATAATCAGAGTGTTGGAGAGCATCTAAGATGGCATATAACAGTTTAAGTCAAGACTCAAACTTGTATATAATTTAAAGTTTTATATCATGAATTGTATAACTATAGCCTATGTTAAACATCTTAATTTAAATTTCAAATTCCTGTGTAGAAAGGCAAGATTTTTATCATTCTCCTGGCATGATAAATCTTGAAATTGAGAATTCATCATTATTCTTTCAAAAAGAAAATGACTCCTACAACTTTTGAAAACTAGTATATGGAAAGGCATATAACAGCCTCAACATACACATTAGCCAAAAACTTTAAAAATTATGTAGCCCAAAATCTCAAAATTCAATCAACACACCAGTCTGCAGCAACATGGGTTGCCTAATGCTTATAAAATTACAAAGATCACGTATTTTTGAAATATACTTCTAAAGATACTTTAGCAATGACAACCTTCAGTTGTATGTAGAATAATAGTGATGGGGTGGGTACACTGACCTTGTGGCATAGATGGAAATGAAATGAGGAATAAACACTAGGGCAACTATATTAGATAATAACTGATGTACCAATAATTTATATTTGTGCTGACATACATTCTATAGTCCTGGACTTCCCTCATGTTGTAAATATGCACCAGACAGAAGACATTGAAATAAAATAAGAATAATATAAGCATAGGCAACCAATATAATTCTCTTGACATTCATCATTTGTTGACGGTTTTCAGAGGTCTTCCAGCTTCAGATATCATCCAGCATGGCCAGCATCCTTCTCCTACCATAAAGTAACTGTCACATAAAAATAACTACAGTCTTCTACACCCTCTCCTAATACCATTTTTGGAAAATTATCATTGGCATTGCCAAGTGTCTGCTCCTTTTTAAATGAGCAACTGAAAGTTGGCTAGATGATGTACAATATTTAAGAAAAAATGAATGAACAAATTAAAACAATGATGTCTTTTGATTTTCTAGCAATGGTTTTGAAGATACTTAGTCAAGGGATATTTATTCAAATTTATAAAGTTTGCCTTCAGCACCAGCTAAAGCAATGTTTAGGCAAATTTTCCCTATTGTATGTTTTACATCATATAGCAGTGTTTATGGTACGTGCTCCAGTAAATGAGCATTGCCAGGGTTCTTCCGCACTAGATTGTTCTGAGGGATTCTCCTCTACTTTGAATCCTATATTTTGCCATTGAAATGGTCTCATTGCTTGGCAAGATACCACGCCAATCTGGAATAGTTAATTTACTACTGTTCTCTACTTTAGAAGAAATGGTGCTGGGCATGGAACCGAGTCCTGAGTGTGCAGGCAGGTGCTTTACCTCTGAGCCGTATGCCAAATTCCCATTCAAAGTTTTCACGTTGTCTGTCCCATCTCTTCATTCTTTCAGTTGTTTCAAGAACAGTTGCTTAAATAAAGAACTCTTGTCATGTTCTCAGCAACGCATTATGTTGGCTACTATATAAGACACCATCACACCATAGACACTAAGGAATATGAAGAAGTGCCTCTTTAAAAATAGAATAAAGCATCAGTAATGTCATACCCAGTTTATTTGCACTGTCTTCTTAAATGCTTTCAGTATTGTAAAGATAACACGTAAATGTCTTTTGAAGAAGGATATCGATGGGTGTGGTTTGACAGTTTTCATACAGTATTGTTTGTTGTGCAAGATCAATGCAGTAACATCATGCTATTTAAAACAGAGGACTATGTTAAAACAGTATAAAGGTAGAGTTCTTCAAGAAAATTGTTGAAATGGGTATGCACGATTTTATTTCAGCATTTGTATGGGGAGAAGTATTCCATAAGCCATTTCATAGAAAATGCTTGTTTACACTATTAAAATTCTCATATCCCTAAAGAAAAAAAACCATGTAAAATGTCCTCTTTAATATGAGTATGCAGGTCACACAGTTAAACCAAGCATTTAATGTTTCAGTAACATTCATACGGGAACAGAATGGATTCTATAGCACCACAAAAAGGGGGCTCATTTTAGACTTCACGTTATAAGGAAACCTTTAGAGTCATGGCAGGCTGTTTATATTTCTATATACAACTTCAAGTTTATCACCAGACCTGTGGTCCTTTAAGGATATTTTATTAAGGAGATATTCTGAGAGACTTAACGCTTACACTGCTTTATTAAAACATCCTGTTTGGGTTGGTTCATAGCATCCCTTTGCTTCTGTCATTGAGTGCATATTTACTAATGACCCCTTAGGAAGTTGCCCTGGACCATTCCAGAAAGATTTTCAACACAACCAGTAAAATGACCCAAATCCCAACATATGCTATTTCAACTTTTAGGTGATACTGTTTTTCTCCTTGACATCAGTAGGGCACAGGCAGACATTCCGGTTTAGACCTGTTATATGCGCAGGAGGCCTGAAATAACTGTGTGCTCTCGAAACCTTGTAGGTTGCCACAGGAAGAGGCACACATGGGGAATGTTGGAACCCAGCAGTCTGCTGACCCCGCCCCCTGACGATGGGCAGGATGCTCATGGCCATGTCATCTCTACTTCAGGACTTACCTGGCTGCTCAAGAGCATTACCTGCTTATTTGCACGGTGTGGGGGGTGGGAGACTCAGTGCAAGTTTCCCATTTAAAGCAAGTACGCCAAGCGAGCCTCTCTCTCTCTCCTTTGCTCTCTTCCCCTTCTCTTTTTCTCCCTCTTTCTCTCTTGTTCCCCCTCTCTCCTCTCTCTCTCTCTCTCTCTCTCTCTCTCTCTCTCTCTCTCTCCTCTACCAATAAATTCCTCATGGGTGCTGAGTCTCCTGTTTGTGTTTCTTAGGCAATAATTGTAGCAAAAGAACAACAGGGGGAATGGACTTATCTTGCATTCAGCTGTGGAAAACAGCTTCTCCTATCCTATTGTAAAGATTGGTGATGCTCAGCACTTTAGATTGGGTGAATAGATAGAAATGCAAGCAGCCTTTGGCTTTGTGGCAGTATTAGTTCATTGCCTTTATGGTCGGGAGAAGAGCTTTCAGGCTTCCAAGATTTCAGTTTATAAAAAAAACTGGAGGTTAGTTAGTGCCAAGTGTAATGCTATGAAGTTTTTTATTTGAGAAATATGGGGAGGAATCCATCTAGACTGTAGGAAAGTCATAAAATTGCATTTCTTTGTAGTGAAATTGGACCCTTTTGTTCAAAGGAGTACAAGTAGCACTGTAGAGATGAAAAAGAAACCAAATAGTCATGCACTTTACATCAAGGGTTAGGAAATGTTGACAGTATAGGGCTTGACATAGTTTCAGGTCTCCATGCAAATATTTCTGTCCTTTATGTTTCCAGAATTCTTGATTATGTAAGCATTTCCTTGTGAGTAAAATAGACCTAGAGAAAACCTAACAAAAATTTAACAACATCTTAAGCATGGACCAGTCCCCAGCTATTTTGAAAAATCCTAATGATCTAAATCCATAACTGATTTACTATCACAGGTCCAAGCCATTGTCTTATTTCTGATCTTGTTTTGTTTTATTTTTTTTTGTGTGTGTGTGTCACTGCATGATGTTTTCTAGTTGCAAGTTTTTATAATAAACTTATAATAAATTTTAAAAGCTAAAAATATACAATTTTTGTCTCCAAAGTTCCAATAATATCTAAGACAAAATTACACAAGTGTTTCAAAAGTATAAAACACCATATTATTTGGCTTAAATGTAATAAATATTGCTTTATATATTGTTTGCGTTCCATTACACATTATTTGCTATTTGATCTCTTGGG